CTGCCTCTGCAGGAAGGAGTGGGCGAGTGGCACTCGGGGCCTTTCCGCCAGCTCTGCCCAGGGCCAGACGCCGCCCTCCACGCTGAGGGAGGGACTGGCCTTGGCATGGAGTCAGTCACCTGCCACTTCTCCCGGTCTCAGCCATTGCTCAACCCGCCCTACAGTACAATGAGGCCATTTCTCATTCCTCCTCTGCCTCCCTGAGGTCTCCCTAACCCTAACCCCAGTGCCCCGCCACCGTGGGTTCTAGACCTTCGCTTGGGGAGTATTGCCTCCAGCATGTGGAGAAACTGAGGTCCAGGGCAGGAAGGCGCGCTCCTGGTCCCAGAGAGGAGGAACAGGGAGGTGAAAACAGTGGCGCCTTCAAAGGAGAGGGCAGGAGATGTGTGGAGGCCTGTGGACATGGCCAGCCCAGCCCATTCCTGCAGGCTCTGGACCTGCGACGCCTGTACCCCAGTCCACCACCGGCCACCTCTGAAGGTTCAGGACCTTGGGGTTTGACTGGGAGGGGCCGGGGATTGCCCTGCCTCTGTGGAGTGTGCCAGCCACTGCCCAGGGCACTTGCTGCGGTTGGAGGTCCCGGGCACACATGTAGTGAGTGCGTCCCTGTCCCGCACACCTGTCCACAGCTCTGTTTCAACCCCCTTGAGAGCCATGGATACTGAGGCTGTCAGAGCCACCATACTCTCCCTGTAGCCAGAGGTCTGAATCACAACCAGATGTCAACCCAGGCCCCATGGGGAGACCAGTGCAGGCCTAGACTGGAAGGACACTGCAGCACTGTCCCCTTCCTGCCAGGGGGACCAGCTGTGCGGTCTCCAGCTTGCTGCTGACCTCGTCAGTGCTGGGGCCAGGGGGCTGGGTCTCCTCCCCGCTGTACCGCCTGAGCTTCTGAACTCCCCTCCCCGCCCTTGCCCACAACAGATGCAGCTGCTTTCGTGGCCAGCCTGGCACCAGCTGTCCATCTCCGGGCCAAGTCCGCAGAGCTCACTGTGTGCATGAGACAGAGGCTGTTTGGCTCTGGGGGCGGTGAGCGGGCAGCTGCTGAGGAGCACTAGGTAGATTCTCCATGGTTACCGCTGTTTGTGATTCTGCAGGACATCCGCCATCTGCTAATGGCCACTTGGACGCCATTATGGGTCTGCCCGCCCCTATGTCCAAGAGACGATGTTCTGGGCTGGGCCACGGCCCCTGCTTGCTCCCTAATGCTGGCCCTGGACAGTAGCCTGGATACTGCATTGCACCCGTGGAGCCTGCCCTTGCCTCTTGGGGTGCAGCACTGGCCGCGTAGACTTCGGGGTCCTATCCCTCCTTGGGGCAGCAGGCTCAGTGGTTGGTGGAGGGCCTGGTCTGGGTGCGGGGGGACGCTGCCTTGTTAGAGCCCTGCCTTGGTGTGCAGCCTCCTGTCAGCAGCCTGTCCCCCCCACCCCCCGCAGACACGGGGCTCCTAGGAACCAGCAGGCTTCCCTGTGATAAGAATCTGAGCCTGGCTTGGCTGGGTCTTGGTAGCAGGTGGGCTCTGTGGCAGGGATGTGGCTCTGGGCCATTGGCCTGTGACAAGCAGGGGCTGAGGACAGGCGACAGCAGGGATTAGGCTGACGGTGTAGATTTGAGCTTCATAGCAACCCACTGTGTGGAAGGGGGTGGAAGGTGTGCCCTGCGGGCTGGTCTGTGTGCTTGGTTTCGCAGGGGTGGGGACAAGTGGTTGCTGTGGTCACCATGGAGATCGGGAGCAGAGTTGAGTGGCCCTAGGCACGGGGACTGTTGTTTCGGGACCTAGCATTGCTACTTTGTGTGCAGCTGAGAGACCCTGACCCCTCTCCTTCTGCAGCTGGAGGTGTCCACTCGCCATCCACCAGCATGGCCACGTCCTCCCAGTACCGCCAGCTGCTGAGTGACTACGGGCCGCCGTCGCTCGGCTACACCCAGGTACAGTGGTGTGCTAGGGCCCGGAGCAGGGTCGGGTGGGCTGGGCCCTGGGAGGAGCAGGAGGGATGATCTGGGTGGGAGGTCCAATGGGTACTGCAGGTCACAGGGACATGACAAGGCCACCACACGGGTTTCTTGTGGGCCCCTCCTTCCTGTTTTCTGTTCCTTCTGGACTCTGGACCTCTAAGTTGGGACAGGAGGGTCTCTGCTGCCTCTCGAGCTGGTGGTGACAAGTGTGGTCCCAAGCAAGCTGCCTGGTGCAGACCCCACGTGGAACCTCACAGAGCCTGGGGTCCTTACCTGTCCAGTGGGGTAACCCCAGGATAGGCCTCAGGGAGGAAGCCACCCCTGCGCTGCACCCGGATGGATCTTAGAGGGACTCTTTGCCCCTGGGGTGGGGGTGGCATCACAGCCCTTGGAGCTCTGCACGCCAGACCGCAGACAGCATTCTGTGGTGGCCGTGGAGCTGCTTCTCTGCATGGCCCTGAGGTGGCCTCTGGCTTCCCTGCCTGCCCCACCAGGGGGTCCTGTCCTGTGAGGAAAGGCAGGCTCAGGCTGCAGGCCGGGGAGTGGGACGGGCAGAAGCTGGGGAGGCAGTGGAGGATGGGCTGAGCTGCAGCCTGTGCCCTGGCCATGTGGCTCCAGTGCTGGGGGACCCAAGAGGTCCGGTGGCGGCCACACTTGGGGACTGGGCCGCTGGCCCTGGGGCACAAGCTGGCTGCCCTGGGGCTTCCTGGGGCCGAGAAGGCCCAGCAGGAGGAGGAGGAGGAGGAGGAAGAGAGGGCTGAGTCGGGCACCTCCCTAATCTGGGTGCCTGTGCAGGCTGAGGGCGCTGCAGTGAAGCAGGGTGTCCTGAGGCAGAGGGGATGGCATGGTGGGCGCATCTTGTGCCCCTCCTGGCTCCCCAGTGGCTGTGGTCTCACCTCCCACTCAGCGTGGGCACTAAGGTCCCAAGGGCTCCCTGGGCACTGTGGGGAGTTGGCCAGCTCCCCCTCTGAGATGGTGGGAACCCTGCAGACGGGCACAAGAGGAGCCGCAGCCTCTGGCCCCACAGCGTCTCCAGAGAGTTGTGTCGACCAGGGAACCCAGAACTGTGGCTTTGGGGTCAGGTTTTGTCCATGTGACCTCCTGTCCCTCTGATTCTAGGGAACTGGGAACAGCCAGGTGCCACAGAGCAAATATGCAGAGCTGCTGGCCATCATCGAAGAGCTGGGGAAGGAGATCAGACCCACGTACGCAGGGAGCAAGAGTGCCATGGAGAGGCTGAAGCGGGGTGAGTGTGCGGCCGGGGGCTCCACGGCGGACCCCTTCGCTCACCGTCAGGGAGGAATTTCCAAGCCTGGTGTGGTGGTGGTGCATACCTGTAGTCCTAGCTGCTTGTGAGGCTGAGGCAGGAGGATTCTAAGTCCAAGGCTAGCATGAGTACCTTAGGGAATCAGTGAGACCTTGTCTCAAAATAAAAATTAAGAAAGGGCTGGGGATGTAGCTCAGTTTGCCCTAGGTTTAATCCTCAGTATTGAGCTGGGGTGGGGGGTACAAAAGAAAAAAGACCTAATTTTCTGGAGACACCGTTGGAGATGTGTAGGGAAGGCCCGAGTCGGGGGATGACCAGTCCAAGGCCGGGCATAGCGGAGGGCGGGTCCCTGTTGCTGTCAGAGGCTCCGCCTGCTCTGGTGCCCTTGGTGTCACTGTGGGAAGTCAGGCTTGGCTTGGGGCTCAGGGCCCCTCTACTGCAGTGTCTGTGGGGAGGGTGTGAGTCTGTTCTTGGGTTGAGGCACCTTGAGGTTCTTTTGTGGTTGGAGGATGGTGTCACAGCAAATGGGACTCCCCAGGGTGGGAAGAGGACAGTGGTAGCTTGCTGGTGGAAGGGACAGGAGCTTTCTTTGTTTTTACTGTTTTTAGTACTGAAGTTTGAACCGCAGGCCTTTGCATTGAGCAACCTACCACCCCCAAATCCCAAGGCCTGTTTTTTTGTTATTTTTTTGAGACAGAATATCACTAAACCATCCTCCCACCTCAGCTTCCCAGAGTGCTGGGTCCACAGGTGTGTGCTGGCTGAGGGTTTCTGCTTTGGAAAGATCTGGGGCTCAGTAACAAATCAGGAGGTGTTGGGGGACCTGAAAATGATCAGAAAAGGCACTGGGGAGCAGAAGGCTAGGGGAACATCTTTGCTGACGGGTCTGTGGCCCAAGTCTGGGCCCGTCACTGCCTGGGCTGCGGCAGAGGGCAGGCCTACCTGTGTCTGCAGCCCGGAAAGAGGTGCCGAGGAGAAGCCAGACTGCCGGGGATGGGCTGAAGAGGCCCTGCCTGACCTCATCTGGGGCAGGCGGCAGGTGGTCATCACACTGTCTGGCCCTCAGAGGGACCGGCAGTCCTGGTGGCTGGAGCAGTTTCCCACTGCCCAGTCTGGCAGGTGGTTTATAGGCCAGGCGGCCACGCCCCAGCAGGGAGGGGACCACACCCTTTCCCGGCCCCTCCGCAAGGACACTGTGGACCCCAGACTGAGCCTTTCTCTTCCCATGGTATCAGTCAGGGCGGCAGAGCAGGCTGGCAGCCGTGCCCTGGCTAATGTGTGTCCCCCAGGTTGACGGGGTAATAGCCACGGGAGTTGTGAGCACTGTTTCGTTTTTTGGCAGTGCTGGGGGTTGCAGCTGGGACCTTTGCACTGAGCTATATCCCGTCCCTTTTTATTATTACTATTTTTGGAGACAGTGTCACTGAGCCGCTAAGTTGCCCATGAAGATCTGAAACTTAGTCCTCCAGGGTTCTGGGTTTATAGGCATGTGCCACAATGCCTGGCTTTTTTAATTTTTATTTTTTTTAAGTGAGTATCTTGCTGTATTGTCCAGGCTTGTCTCAAACTCCTGGGCTCAAGTGATCTCCTGCCTTAGCCTCCTGAGTAGCTGGGAGTACAGGTGTATACCACTCTGCCTGGATGGAACACTGTTGATAGATTGGGAAACTACAGTTCATCAGCCAAGAATGTGTTTTACAGTTTTTCATGGTTATAAAAAAATAAGATTTTGGAGCTGGGTGCGATAGACAGTGCACACCTCTAATCCCAGCACTCAAGAGGCTGAGGCAGGAAGATCTGAGTTCAAGGCCAGCCTGGGCAACTTCAGGAATTCCAGGCCTGACTACTGAGACTCGGCCCTCCCTCTCAAAAACAAAACAAAGTAAAAGATTTGGGGACATACAAAAATCTGTTAAATTCAAACTTCTGGGTCCATAAATGAGATTTAGTGGAACATGGCCACACCCATACATCCACAGTGTGTGTGGCCATTCCAATGTACAGTGACTAAGTAACTGTGACTTGTGTAGCCCAAAAATCCTGATATTTGCTGTCTGCCCTTACAGTTTTCTGAATCTCTAGGTAGACTGTACCATTTCTGAAATGTAGACTTCTAAAGTTTTGAGTCTGGGTCTTCTTGCCCTGTAGTTCAGGCTGGCCTTAAACTCACAGTGATTATCCTGCCTCAGCCTCCTGATGCTGAGATTAAAGGCATGCGCCACCACTGCTGGCAGTGCTCATTTTAGCGACTGATAACCTTAGTCCTGACACCCTCTGTGAGCTGTGCATTAGCAAGAAAAGCATTCTTGGTATGGATAAAAGTGAGTTCAGGGCTGGGGATGTAGCTCAGGGTGCCGCATCTGCCTGGCAAGTGCAAAGTCCTGAGTTTGATTCCTGGTACTGGAAAAAAAAATGAGTTCAAGCCAGGTGTGGTGGTACATGCCAGTAGTCCCAGCACTCAGGAGGCTGAAGCAGGATCGCAACAGTAAGGCCAGCCTGGGCTAGATAGTGAGACCCAATCTCAAAAAACAAAGTTCATATTTCATTAAGTTCAGTGAAAGCAAAAGGAAAAAGAAACAAAGGTGACTGGCAAACCAGAGAGAGGTGGGAGATGTGTGTGAGGGCAGTTGGGCGCCCTGCAGCGGTGTCCTCTGGATGTGTCCCCTTGCCTGCCTGACCCCTGCAGGCCCCGTTGGGTCAGCCACAAGGACAGGCAGAGCAACACTGACCCTGCTGTCCCATGTACAGTGGGTCCTGCAGGAGCCCATTGACCGCCTGGGCTAGGGGCAGGATGGGGTCAGTGTCCCTTAAACCACTTGTACTTGGGCATTCTCTGGTGTCTGAGTGTTGGTTTTGAGGCAGGGTCTCAGTATGGTGCCGGGCTGGTCTTGAACTCCTAGGGTGCAGTCAGCCTTCCCGCCTTAGCCTCCGAGTAGTGGGACTCATGGGTGCAAAGAAGCACTGTTCCTGCCTGGTTGGGTTGTGTGGGTCCCCAGGCTCCCTGGAGGGGTGCGGGCTTTGGGTTGGGCCGGCTGACGCGGCCTCTGCCCCTGCAGGCATCATCCACGCACGCGGGCTGGTCCGGGAATGCCTGGCCGAGACGGAGCGCAACGCCAGGTCTTAGCGGTGCCCGACGCCAACACTGGGAAGAGGCAGGAGGCCGCAGCCAGCTGCCCACGGAAACTTGTTCTGGAAATGTTAACAGTTTTGTTTTTTCCTGCCATGGTTCGCTGGGCTCTGAACCTACAGTCTCAAAGAATGAGAAAAGGTTTCACAGGGAATTAGGGTTCACATCTTATGTAGTTAGGCCAACCCAGGGTTTTGTTTTAAGCGTTGATTTAAAAGATGCACGACATTACTTTACAGCAAACTGTTGTTTGCGCCCAAGATCCCGGTGTCTCCCCTTATCTTCTCCTTTGAATACATTTACACCTTCCAGATTGTTCTTTGTTGCTTGTCATAAGCCCTGCCAACCTGAGGACTTGGTTCCATGCGACTCGCGGAGCTCTTTACCCAGCAGCTGGTCCCGCTGGCTGTGCGGTGTAGACCCTGCTTTGACAGCCTCTCCGCTTCCGCATTTGCATGACTCTTAGCACTTTGAAGTCAGTCCTAAAAACGCACAAGTTCTAAATACAGAAGAAAGAGCAACCGACGACCCCTAACAAGGACCCTGGACACTCATGTGAAGACTGTGTAGATTTCAGTTCTGCGTATGCTGTAAGTTGATCAAAACATCCAGAAGAAAATGACTAAAACTGTTTGCATCTTTGTATGTATTTATTACTTGATGTAATAAAGCTTATTTTCATTAACAATTTGTATTATGGTATGGGCTCCTTGGAAAGTTCTGAAGTGCCATCTTAAAGCTGCTTCTTTTTTTTTGGTGTACTTTTGTGTGTGTGTGGTACCTGGGATCAAACTGGGGACCTTGAGTTTGCAAGGCAGGTGTGGTGCCACTGAGCTAAATCCCTTGCCCACCTTTTGGTTTACTTTTTTTTTTGGTTCCAGTGATCAAACTCAGGGCAGCAGAACCACTGAGCTAAATCCCCAGCCCTTGGTTTACTTTTGAGACAGGGTCTCACTGTATAGTCCAGGCTGGCTGGCTGGCCTCACATTTGCAGTGATCCTCCTGCCTCAGCCTCCTGAGTGCTCGGATTATTGGCGTGCACAATCACGCTTAAAGCCACTTCCTAGTGAGAAGCTGCAGATAACCTGTCAGAGGGCATTTCCCCACCTGCCTGGAACCTTTTACACACTGATGCTGTAGCACAGCTGGCTGGGGAAGGTGCTTGGGTGCTTCCGTCAGAGGATGTGTTTAACAGCAGCAGGCTCCATACATGCTTGGGAAGAAAACCAGAAAACGAGGCAGCGATACTAACTTGGCGAATGGCCTATTGCCATCCTCGGCTGGTGGCTGCTTATCCCATGTGTATTTCTGAGTGCTACAGAATCTGTATTTCATGTGCTGTGGTCAGAAAAGCACGCTGGGCCTGTCAGCACCATCCCCTATTTGTCACGATGGCAAATATGAAATAGGGCTGGGGTGCAGCTCAGTGGAGGCCTTGCGTTTGATCCCCAGTACTTGAAACAAAATGCTCCCCACACGTTGGTATACAGAAAATCACGTGTTTTTTGTTTTTGGTACTGGGGATCAAACTCAGGCCCTTGCATTTACAAGGCAGGCGGTAAAACCACTGAGCTGAATCCCCAGCCTGAATGACATGTTTGTCTGCAGAGGCTTTTTTTTCTGTACTGGGGATTGAACTCAGGGCCTTGTGCTTATGGAAGCAAGTGTGGTGCCAGAGCTAAATCCCTGGCCCTGAGAAACATTTCTTGGCAAAACAAGTCTACTAACAAGCTAACAGGGTAAATGGGCAAGTACCTAAATAATGTCACCATCATTTTCGTATAGTTCTGGTGGCCTTGAACTTGCAATCCTCTTGCCTCAGCCTCCTAAGTGCTAGAACTACAGGCATGCGCCACCAAGCCTGGCTTCCAGGCACAGCGGCATACTCCTGCAGTTCTTGCTACATGGGAGGCTGGAACCAAGGGAGATCTTTTGAGTTCTAGGAATTGGGCCGGCAGTGAGATCACAGCTGCTTTTTTTTTCATTGTTGGGGCACTGAACACAGAGCGCCCCCATGAGCTATACTCCCAGCACAAGAGACTTGTTTCTTAAAAAACAAACAAAAAAAGGAGACCCTTCTAACTACTCCCTGGACACTTTCTGGCAAGTTCAGCCAGAATTGGCATTTTTATCCACAGCAGAATTTTGACTTGATTTCCATAGTTCTGTCAGTAGTTTCTTTTTTTCTAGAGTTTCCTTTGCTCTTTTCTTCCTTTCTCGCTTTTTCTTCTCTGCCTCTCGTTTCTCTCTGCAAACAGGACTATTTTCACCATTGTAGAAAACATCTACTTTCTCCTGTAGGATTTTCCGAGCCAGCTTCCTGTTTTGGTCCACAGATCTCGTCTGATGGCACTGCAAGACATGATAGGTGACAAGGTGAGCACAGGGTGCCAGAACTGGGGCCTCAGCAATCACTCACTCCAGCCCAGCCCCTTGACAGGCAGGAACAGTGAAGACCAGACCTGCCTGCCTCTCCCTATGGCCTTGCCTCTACCTGAACCCCATTTACATTTACATTAACTGGCTTTCATTCTGGTTGGTTTTTTCTCTTTTTTTTTTAGACAGAATCTATGTAGTCCAGACTGACCTTGAACTCAGGGCAATTCTTCTGCCTCAGCCTCCTGAGTGCTGGGGTTACAGGTGTGCCTCACCACGTCTAGCTGATGATTCTAACAATTTTTCCAATGGTTGTTTATAAGCAATAATAATCTTCAGAAAACTGAAAGTCTAAATAATTATGAAAACATTAATCGAGCCCTGCCTGGGCTACCTAGTGCGTTCAAGGCCAGCCTGAACTACAGCACCTAAATGGATAAAGGATGGACTAGATGGTCGGTGGCGAACACAAGGCCTCATCTTCTCTTTGTCAAGAAGGCTCTGAAAGGTTTGCCGTCAGAGGACGAAGCCGATTGAGGCATCTAGCTTGTGGCTGGGGATGCGGAGCGCCTTTTTCCCTCATCAGTGTGGACATGCACTCGGTCTTAACAGCGCCACTGCGAAGTGGGCACAACTCCGAGGCTGTGTCCCAGGGAGCTTGTCACATTTCTGGGTTTCGCCACTCATGAGTGAGTTTTTCCAAGGAGGAAAAGTAACTGAGGTTTTCCTCCAAAGGTGGGCCGTGGAGCCCAGTGCGGAAGGCAGGGCTCTGCCTTGGGGAGCAGGTGCCTTCACCACGAGTCCCTACCTTCACCACGAGCCCTGAGGGCACATGCTTTAGCACCACGCAGTTGCTGGTCTTGTTGGTGGCTTGGCCCCCTGGTCCGCGTCCCTTCACAAACTGCTCCTCCAGCTCACTCTCGTCCAGAGGCAGCAGGGCGGGGTGGTCCCTCTTGTCAGCCACCTGTAGCGCAGTGCCAGCACTTCCTGGGGACAGCAGTGCCCACTTCTCCCTGAGCCTGAGGCCATGCGGCCCCACGCATACTCTGGCTAGTACTGCAGGACCTCGAAGTAAACCGAAGGTGCTCATCAGGGGTGCTGGGCTGCTTCTTCAGGACCTGAAGTGGACAGGGAGAAGGCCAGATTTTCAGTGAGACCCTTGGCTCTCAAGATGATGCTTTGGTCGCAAAGCCAGCTTTTCATACAGTCCAAATAGATGGCACTGAGCCAGGTGTGGTGACGCACTCCTGTGAACCTGGCACTCAGGAGGCTGAGGCAAGAGGATCGCCATGAATTATATAGTGAGATCCTGTCTCAAACAAACAAAACCCAAACAAAAATAACCACTTGAGTAACACCCCGCTTCTCTAGGGTAGTTTCCTAAAGGAGACTGGTGGGCAAGATTGCAGCCTGCCTCACCCGTGTTCTCATCAGTCCAGGCCCTGCCAGCCTATAACTACTTCCGGCTAACAGACCAGAAATATCTCAAAGCACCAGAGGTGCTGTTTTCTCGGGAAGGAGAGGTTTTGAGTGTGAAATCCAAATGGGGCTATAATTTAATAAAGAAACATGAACTAGTACATCAGGAATTAGAGTCTGAGTTGAGTGACGGTATTAAGCGTTTGTGCATCTGGGAGCAGAAGGTGAGGATGGCAGTGTGAACATCTGTTTTGCAGCTGAGCTCCCACAGTCGTCAGACACAGTAGACTTTCCTATCAGCCAGTGTCAACGAATGCCGTCTTTCAGTGTTTGCAGTTCCGGGGGTTTGAATGGGAACATCTGCTCTCTGGGATGCGCTGCCAGTAATGTGATCCAACCGGTCGTCCTCGTCTGGATCACCCAATCACTTTTACGCAGGTGCTGTGAGGTTCCAGACCCCGCAGGATGCCGTCTAGGGAGACTGGCTCGGGGGAGGGGCCATGCTAGTGAGAGAGGACTCAGAGCAAGGGGGCTTGTTTCTGTGGATTGAACCAGGGCCTCATGCACACGAGGCATGCATGCATGCAACTCAAGGTTTAAACAGTGATCTGAGACATGGCAAGGTTGACAACTTAACAGATGAATAGGACAAGGAGTAACAGCTGCGAGAACGTGATGAATCCCACGGGCCTTGGCATTCTCCAGGGGCCAAGAGGTGGGATCGAAAGGTCCCCCTGTGAACGGAGGTCACCACCTGGCCCTGCATTGGGAAACGAGCCCTCCTCCAACCGGCCCACACACACTTGAGAGAGACTGGGGAAAAGCCAGGTGTGGGAGGCTGAGGCTGGGCAGGGCAATTTAGCGAGATCCTGTGTCAAAATAAAAAACAAAATGGACTGGGGATGTGGATTGGTGGTTGAGCACTTGCCTGGTAAATTCGAGGCCCTCTATTCCATCCTCAGTACTGAAAGGAAAAAGAGGTATTATGGAAAGAAAGGGCTTTGCTGTGCTTCTCAGGCCGGAGACTGGGTCTCTGTTAAGCCTGCCAGCAGGAACCAGAGGTCCCGCCACTGCCTGCATCTTTCTGAGAAACATGCAGGCACTGAACATGGGCGCTGCTGCCCGTGGGCCCCTGCAGCTGCCTCAGCACCTGGAAGCTGGAGGCTTCCAGTCACAGCCACTGGCTGCACGCCAGGTAGGCGCCAGCTTCTAAGGTGACAGCATCCAGCAGGTCATTGCCCCAGGGGTGCTCTCTACTCACCCTCTGTCCACTGCCAACTGTGACTGTCGAGCCCAGGTCCAGGTAAGGGGCTGTTTATTGAAGACGTACGTCAGCTGTGTGCATTTCCTGTTCCTTTAAAAGCAAGCATCCAGCTGAGTAGTCAGGACAGCTGATGCTGAGATGCCACTGGACATATTTACACCGACAACGCCATAGCTCTTATCTCTGCTCTGCTGTTTCCTCAGGAAAGGTATCAGATGAAACTGAACATACCTGTCTCACCCCGTTTTAATGAGAGAAATTGTTGTTTTGGGTTTTTTTTTTGGTACCGGGGATCGAACTCTGGTCTTTGTGTTTGCAAGGCAGGCAGCTGAACCACTGAACTAAATCCCGGCCTGTCTCACCCCATTATTATTATTATTTTTTTTTTTAGTACCGGGATTGAACTCAAGACTTTGCACTTGCGAGGCAGGCAGCAGAACCACTGAGTTAAATCCCCGGCCCCTGTCTTACCCCATTTTAAAACAATTTTAGAGACAGGATCTTGCTAAGTAGCCCAGGATGGGCACAAACTTCTTTTTCTTGGTACCGGGCATCGAACTCGGGACCTTATGCTTGCGCAGCAGGCAACAGTACCACTGAGCTTAATCCCTGGCCCTGGGCTCAAAGTTTTGATCTTCCTGCCTCAGCCTGATCACAGGGATGCACCACCAGGCCTGGCTTCAGGACATACTTTTCAAGCCTTACATGGCTGCTAGTTCTCCATTCCACAACTGACTGTATGGTCTAAGGCCGTGTCCTCTTTTGTGACAGTCTCTTGTGTTCTGCCAACCCGGTGGGTCACAATGAAAACTGACCAGGGGCTCCTTGGCTGTGAGGGTGGAGCTGAAGCACAGGTGTCAATTGTGTGTGAAATATCCCAGAAGTAGCCTCAAGAGAAGAGGAATGGTAAACCCAGACACCTTCTCTGAAATCTCTTCAGGAAACCAGTATTCGTGATGGGCTGAGTGTCCCTTCCTGAGTCTCCTTTCAGTCTGCACAACACAGTTCTTTGTGTCACCCGCTCTGGGCCTAAGTGAACTTGCTGTGGAACCTGAGCCGAGGCCCCTCCTGGGTTCCTCTTCCGCTAGGTGCTGAATGTGACCAGGCTGGGCGGCACTGGGACACGGCACAGGGACAAAGACAGGAAGCAAATCTGAGACAGGCGAGACTAGACCAAGGACAGAGGTAGCTCTGTCATCCGCTGCTGTGTCACAGTCCACTGCTTCATTCTCACCCTCCTGTCCTGATTTGGGGCTGGCAGAGCCTGGAAGATGTCCCACTCCACTGAAGTCCAAGAAGGCCCCAGTGTTCATGACCGGCTGCTTTGTGGAGTGGCCATTCAGGTGATTCCAGACATTTCCCATGTCTCCTGGAGCTCTGGCCCCACTCCAGCGGCTGCTAAAAATGACAAACACACCCGTGGTTCCACATCCCCGAAGCCCAAAGAATACGGATTGGATTTCAGCTCTTGTGATACCCACAGAACAACCTAAAGTCTTCAGGGAACAATAAAAGCAGTTCAAACTGTAGCTCATCATGACAATAAAAAAAAAAAAAGAAAAAGGAAAAAGGTAAAAAGGGCAGGTAAGGAGAAACCTGCCGTCGCGACAGCTCTGCCCTGCCTCCTCTCTGTGAGGGTGGGCTTTAAGGACTGGCTCTCCAGCCTGACTCCCCTCCTCGCTACTCTTGCTGTGATCAAGGTTTCTGTGCTCAATAGCTGGCGGGGTTTAGGTTAAAGACCCACTCGTTTGTTGGAGTCCTTTCTAGTTCAGACATGGTAAGTCTGCATGCTTTACAAACAGGAATGTTAATTTGTCCAGCGAATATTTTAAACATCTAAAGAGTCAGGCACTGGCCTGAGGGAGTCCAAGGAGGCCAGACCATAAAGAGAACTTGGACATCTGTAAACACAGCCCCAGCACGGCCCCCACCTGCTGCTGTGCCCCAAGGAAAGGCACCTGCACTCTTCTGAACACCCTGCCTCCAGCCAACCCCAACCAAGCTGTGGGCCTGGGGCAGCCAACTCCACTGCAAGGCCCCCGACGGGAATAATCCTGAGTTACAACTAGATTAGGAGGTGGCACACACCTGTCATACCAACATTCTGGGAGGCCGAGGCAGTAGGACTGAGAGTTTGAGCCCAGCCTGGTCTCAAAACAAAAACAAAACAGTTGGCTGAGGATGCAGCTCAGTGAGGAGGCCTTGGGTCTAATCCTGAGTAGCAAACAAACAAGTAAACCCTAAAAATCAACTCAAAACCTAGCTGTGGGCAGTGACACTTTGTCATCACCAGCCCTGATGCTAGGGAGAGACAGAGATGGTAATGCCCACCTCACCTCTCGGGTCTCTAAGAAAGATCAAGCCTATCTGATTCGAATCTACTGAAAGCGTAGGATTCAATCATCTCTAGACCTGCCTTCTTGCTGCTGTTCATCTAAAATTCACTTTCAGTATTTTGGGAGGCGGGTATTGAGACAAGGTCTTGCTGTGTAGTCCAGGCTACCCTTTAACTCACTATATACCCTAGGCTGGCCTCAAACTCGCAGCAATCCTCCTGCCTCAGCCTCCCCTTAGGGCTGGGATCGCAGGTGTGCACCATCACACCCAGCCCCTTAAGGGCTTCAGCAAGGGTGCTTGCTGCCTGTCTGTTGGCACACAGTACTGTCTGACGGCTTAATCAGAATGGAAGGCAGGGCAAGGAGTTCATCCAGAGAGAAGAATTAAGTGAATACTGGTTTAAGCTAGCAGAGACTGGTGGCATGGTAACAAGGGATTGAGAAACTGGCCAGCTGAAAAAAAAAATCACAAATATCATCTCTATTGTGTTAGCATTGTAGATCAGTGCACCCAGCGGAAATATGCTGCTGGCCATATGTGAAATTCTAGGTTCTCTAGCAGGCACATTAAAAGTAATAAAAAGAGGGCTGGGGATTTAGCTCAGTGGTGCCGCCGCCTACCTTGCAAGCATAAGGTCCTGAGTTCGATCCCCGGTACCCAAAAAAAAAGAAAAAAAAAAAAAGTAATAAAAAGAAACTGATTAAACTCATATACTTAAGAGTTTA